GTGTGTGTTGAGGGAGCGTGGTTGTTACGGAAATAGGTGAGAATAATAAGAATAGCGAAACCCGTTCGTCGAGAGCAAAGTGGGTTGTTTTTTTCGTCGACTAGATCATTTCCGGTGGAAGAACAAGGTTATGTGTCGGGGCTCTTGTCTGAACACACAGTGCTGCAATATCTCCCGAAGGTTCTGTCATTTCTACTCCAGCTGCTACAAATTGGGCTTGTCTGATCAAATGAGTGGAAGGGGAATAAGCTGGAGACGCCAAGGCGGATCTAGGGGTATTTTTCCAAAAGGTCGTGGGTCGTACTGTATAACGAAAATGTCAATAATAAATCATTACAAGGAAACTATGGATACTGACACAAGGGTGGTGGAGGGGAGGGTAAGGTACAGGCACCGTCGTCTCTCTCTCCAGCGGTTCTCGCTGAACTACTAGTTCTCTTTCTCTTCATTTCGGGTACCCTGAGAAAGACAGATGAGCGCTCGGAATCTTGCGAGTCGCATTCCGATGGCGCGGTAGACTGGGTCGGGGTAGAAGCTTCATCGTTATTTTGGGCCTTGGAAAGCTCGACAAGTTGTTGAAAGCTTTCGGCTGTAAAAGAAGGAGTCGGGGAATAACCGTCTATCGTCATTTGGGTAAAGCGCCCATACGGGTCCTTCCGGGTCGCTTTGTGCGGCGCAGGCGAGACGGAGCGGGAAGGGGGTTGTGAAGATGGAGCAGAGTTGCTAGTTGAAGATTCAGCAATCATTCTCTGGGTGATTGTACGTGGTGCAAATCGTTCTGCTGTTTTTCGTAAAGCGCCAAACTCCTCTTCTGCTTCGGCGTTGTGGTCAATGCTCGTCCGAGTTGGTGTATCAGCCCTTGAATCAGTGAGTTCTTCTTGTCGTTGATAGTCTCCAATCGGTTTGTGCATAATACGGGGTTTTTTCTTCACCTTTTTGGAGGTCCTACGAGGTGAAGCACGGATGGGGTAGGCTGCCAGGGATGGCAACAGTCCAAGAGCCGAGTTTGACGAAATACCACCGCACATCGACTGCCAAGAGCCGTTTATCCGTCGACAGGCAAAAAGCAGAGAACTGTTTCATGTTTTTACACGGTAAAGCTGGTCTTTATTACACGAATACAACGAGGATTGTGCGATATACGATTGTGATGCACGGACGCTGTTGGCCACGCTTGTGCCAAAAGACGACAGTACGACATAGTTCAGCTTGTCAAAACGATCATACTAGTGCGAGATTGAGTTGTGCTACAACTAGATTCCTTTGTCCCGTCAGTGCACTAAAAGCGTCCGAGCAGGGTCGAAACAGCACTGCCACCGCTCTACTTCTGGCTTCCTAGCCCAACCCGAATTTTCATATATCATGCACTCCTATTCCATGGAAATTATTGCGAACAAATAGACGACCCTACTCGACTTTGGACGAACGGCTTTGGAGCAGCGGCTGTCATGTTGGAGACGGCAGCCGAGTGTGCATAACTTCGAGGATGTGACGTGCTCCAATTTGGACATAGGTCTGATTTGAGACTCTTATGAGAACACAAGGCGTCATATCTGAGGATGATCATGTTACGACCAGCTCTCCAGCGACTACTCATCCTCGCTTCTTGGGCGCAATCAATCTGTCATTAATTAAGCCCACTTTCATCAACAATAGACTCATCAGAGCCGCACCCGTCTCTTGTGGTTGTCCACGATGGCCCATTGCCGCGCTTGCGCCTGTAAAGTCGCCTATTCAAGCTAGTTCTACATAGTATAACCAGCAGTCCGTACAAGTCCCGACAGAAAATGTTTCCTCCGGAATTCAAGGGGCCGCAAATATTTTGATTGGAGCAATATGGCCGAGACTGGCATTCCATGATCGAAGGACATGTAATTCGTCCAGTCCGTATATATAGTGCATGGAAGAGTATGATGCCCTTTACTCCTCCCCATACCTCTCGTCAATCGTCTTATGGGGGGATGTAGTCAACTGTCCCTAACCAGTATGAGTTGGTCATCTGCGTCAACCAGCGCCGAAGGGTCATGGTATGCATCGTCTTCTCATGAGATTGTCGTGCGAATACTCACCCTCCAAGAGGTCTCCTTTTAATCACTCATCTCTTGATGAAGAGTATCAGTTTGGGAGGAAGTCGTTGAAGCTGCAGGGATATGGCACTACCAGTGGCGCATTCCAATTTTCCAGCGTTGTTCCTTTCTACCAGTCCTTCATCCTTCCATACGATAGCCTGAACCCTGCTATTGTAAAATCCCCCGTGGCCCTATCCTGGCCGATGTGCGAGCTGAAGGATTCACAGGAGATTCGTGATGTTCGTTACCCGTACGCAGGGTCCCATAACTACCATAAT